TCCAAGGAATATGTGATAGACTAGGTATGAAGAAAACAAGAACTACGGCTTATCATCCGCAATCGGATGGTATGGTAGAACGAATGAATAGAACAGTTGGCAAGTATTTGACAAAGATGGTATCCGATCATCAGCGAGACTGGGACCAATATCTTCCGTTCTTCACAATGGCCTACAGATCTGCTGTTAATGAATCAACAGGCCAGATACCAGCCAGAGTCCTATTCGGACGCGAGATGCGACTACCTTGTGATCTAGAGTTTGGGTGTCGACCTGGAGAAGATGTAGCAGGTGAAGATTATGTGATCGAATTACGAAGAAGAATGGACGATGTACACGAGTTGGTCCGTTCCCATCTCCAAATCGCTAGTGACCGAATGAAGAAACGGTACGATACACAAGCCGAAAAGGGGTGTTTTAAGAAGAACGATAAAGTCTGGCTTTATAACCCCAAAAAGCGAAAAGGTTGTTCTCCCAAATTGCAGCAGTTTTGGGAAGGTCCATACCTCATTATGGAGAAGATCAATGATGTTATTTACCGAATAAGCAAGATTCCGAGAGGAAAGCCGATGATAGTACACCATAACCGGTTGGCGTCTTTCGAGGGTGACCACGACGTAGATGAAGAAGTGGAAGTAAACCAAGTCCAAGATGTGTCTGACCTCACGTTTGAGGAATTCATGGGTGCCTATGGAGGTACCGGTAAAGCAAGACATGGTGTTACCACTGAAGAAAGGCAAGATCTACTCGCGCTTCCCGATGACTACTCACTGGCCCTTACCATCCCGGCCAGTATCAAAGATGCACCAGGGTTGGCATCCGTCTTTCGAAGGAAGTTTGGTCGAGTTGCAGAACTTCAATGCCAAGTGCCAGCTCCTGGTAAAACCTTGAAACTTCAAGATGCATCACGTTACCTTTTCTACCTGGTAACAAAAGACACTGCCCGTGACCAACCTACCTACCGAGATGTATGGGAAGCCTTACTTCAGTTGAGAGAGCACGTACTAGAGTCCGACGTGCAAAAGTTAGCCATGCCAAAGTTGGAGTGCCGCCAATTAGATTGGAGGGTTATACGAAACATGGTGGAGGAAATCTTTAAAGACACCGAAGTCCAGGTGTTAGTCTGTTGCAATCCGCATAGTTACTGCTGCGGAGAGAAAAACCGTCCCTTGTCATTTCTATACAACTGGAAGTTGTAAAAGAGGGTCCAGTTGCCGATATCAGCATGTCGTTCCAGTTCCAGTCCCGACAAGGTTCCAGGAGGAACCATCTTTTAAGAGGGGGGCAATGTTACGATTTTAAATGTTATGGCATATAGAACTGTAAATATTTTATGACTAATTCTTTTTTATTGATTCTCGTAATTTGTAGGTCAAAATATACCTGAGCTTCGCTACCAGTTGTTTACAGAAATCTCTAGACACTAATTTTAGTGAGTCATCCACGTCTCGAGGTTGAAAAACGAGTCGAGCGCCTTCACCAAAATACGAGATCATTCAGGAAGTTCGCCGAAAGTTCCAGATGACAACAGTTGTGTATATAAATGAAAGATTTTTGTATTTGAGTCAGTCATAAGAAGCTCGGCAACCGCGATATTTAAATGTAACGAAACATAAATTATTATTTGTAATATAAATTAGAATTAATAAAGACTTTAATAAATTCGTAATTAGTTATCGTGAGTTTTAATAAATTAGAATATAGACAATAAATTAGAATAAAGACAAATAAATTAGAACTATATAAACGTCACAGTATATTCATTTAACCCTTTAAAATATTATTTATATTATTATCTCTTTCAGATACAACTTGTTATTTGACTGTATTAATTTATCTTTATGTATAATATATCGTGTTTTTAGTGTTTACCGCGGGATAAATAAATCATAGTTTATTAAAAATGTATTACACTTTTTTAGATTATAATTAAATCTTCTTAATAACTAGTCATATTTGTATAGTAGTTTTAATATTATTGAGTCTGGTCCTGATCCCACCTCCATATTGGTATGATCGTTAGCCACGCCTACTGACGCCGTTTTTAATACACAGTTTAATATGCTCATAGCTTCTCCATAGATTTTAACTCGATGGTTGCCAGATATCCCTATTTGAAACTTCATGTTCGAGTAAGAAAAGTCGATAACTGAGTCACCAGAGAAATTAGTCAGTGTAGGAGACAATACAAACAAAAATTCCATTGGTTGAGGACAGTTGATGGGTTGTGTTGTCAATGTGTTAGGTACTACGGCTTAAGACCAGCGTTGTAAGGTTGGGTTACGTAAACGTCTAATATATCACTAAAAGCCATCCAAGAATGTTAGCAAAATTGTGTGACTACAAATTTTAAGGATTGAGATTTATCAGAAATCTTCGAGAAAATACTTTCTCTAGCTTAGATGCATTTAAAACAGTACATGTTGTAGGACCAAGATTTATCAGTCTTAATATTTAAATCGGTAAACACCAGCATGCAATGACCATTTCAACCTCGTTTGGTATTATCAGGCATGCGTAGATGTGTACAAACTCTCCCAGAAGATCTTATTATGAACAGTTTGACACATCTACACATGCCTGATTATAACAAACGCGGTTAACGTTCAAACTTAAAACGTAAGTAAGAGAGGCGAGAAGATATTGAAGATAACAAGCGCCCAGGACGGTATATGCTTCAAAAAGTGATTTGAACGTTCAAAATGTGACCGAAATGGTTCGAAAAGACCGATTAAAAGTCAGGGTCATGGTTGAAGAAGGTGTGGACATTAATAACGAAAGTGTGAAACAAATTTTGCATAAGGAACTAGTGTATGCTAAGCTTGTGTCTAGGCTCATAACGGCGGAATAGAAGATATATCGTACAGAATAGAAGACACTTGTTCTGACACCCTGGAATGGATCGAAAAGGATACGGACTTCTTCTCAAGGGTCACAGCTTTTTACTAAACATGGATTTTTCAATGTGGCCGTGAAAACAAGTGATAATCCATGCAGTAAAAGATTACAAACGCTACAACAGCCAAAACAGCGAGAACAAGCAAGTTCAAATTCAAGGCGATGTTGATTATTTTCTTCGATATACGGGATGTAGTTCACATGGAATGGACATCACAACGTCACACAGTTAATCAATATTACTATTTATAAGTTTTACGAAGAGAAAAAAATCGCAAAAGAGGCCCGAAATATGAAAAGATAACTCCTGGATCCTCCATCATGACAATGCGTCGGCTCACAATGCGCACTCTTTTAGAGATTATTTGGCCAAAAAACAGGTCACGGTCATGGTGTACTTGTTCCGAAAAATAAAATCCTGCTTAAGAGTAACCCACCACCAACCATTCTTCTTCTTAAGGTGCCTATTCGTTTCGGATGTTGGCGATCAGCACGACTATCCTAACTTTGCTTGCAGCTATTCGAAATAATACGGTTGTAGACATATTAAACCACTTTCCTAGGTTTTGAAGATAAGATAGTCTTCTTCACCCTGGTCTTCTGAATAATGCCCTGAAGAATAAGTTGCAACAGGCCATATCTCTGTTCATTTCTCATGATATGTCTAAGATATTCTAATTTGCTCTATTTGATTGGGTTAATAATCTCGCATTCCTTGCCCATTCTACGTAGGGCTTCAAAATTAGTCAGACGATCCACCAATGAAATTCTTTGCGTCTGTAACTCCACATTTCGAAGGCATCGAACTTCCTTAAAAAAACTTCAGAAAGTGTCCAGGGCTCTACTCCACATAATAACGTAGAAAATACATCATTTGATGATAGAAATTTTGGTACCAAGTGGTAAATCGTGGCTTCTGAAAAGAGCATCTTTACGAACGCTGATTTTGCTTTTCCTATGCGTTATTTTATTTCAGTAGAGTGATCCTATTGGCTATTTATATTGGTACCACGATGTGTGTAGCTGTTTACTCGGTCAATTGGTTTTTGGTTAACCAAAAGGCGTGTATTTAATATTTTGCGCTTACTGACTACCATGTACTTTGTGTTTTTCGTATTGAGATGAAGTCCATGTTCTCTACTTATATCTGATATGCGCGACATTATTCTTAACTATAACTACTGTGTCGTCGGCGTATCTAATGTTGTTTAGACGTACTCCGTTGACTAATACGCCTTCCTGAATGTCACACTCCTCTGTGGATATTGCCTCTATCAACTGATCATCCACTTTAATGTTGGCCGTTTGGTAGTGATTTAACTAATATTATGATTCTCAAGTTTCTATCATCTAAGCCGCTTCTTTCAAAATAGTTATAAGTATATCACGTTTTACTCTATCAAATGTCTCTTTTTAATCGATAAAACAAATATATACGTCACAGTTGACATCTCTGCACCTCTGCATAAGCATTTGTACATCTGCAGCACTATTTCGCATAGTGGAAGGTTCGCATGAAGCAGTGTAGTGATGCATAAGAAGGCTATATTGAAGGGAAAAAATAAATTATTGCTAAATAAAGATGGTATACCAACAGTCTTGAAACTTCCCCGACCTCGTACGCAATTTTATTTGGTCTTTAGTTGAACTCGTAACTTTGTACGCATGCAAAACATTGTAATTGGACAGGTTAATGACTAATTTTCTACTGTTGATATTCCACTAAAAGAATCACCATATAACTGTTATGGTTTTAACTTCTAATTATATATTACCCATTAAAATCTTGCAAACTAAATAACTATAAATGTTAATGCAGTAATCAGGATTATAAGAAGACACACAAATCTCCCACTGCACCAGTGCAAAGTTCCCAATGAACCAATCTCACAACAAAACAATGACTTCAGGTTGCGTTTCAATGATGTCTCTTTGAAATTAATGTATAAACCCATTTGTAACTTTTGAATTTAGAATACTAACTGTTAATGTAATTACTTAAGGTTAATATAGTAATCTATTAATTTTGACTAGGAATTTATATAAAAATCTGAAAGTAAGTCTTACATACACATACACATTAGTAAGCTAAAATAACCTACCTTCCTGTAGCTGTTCTATTAACCTAAACCTTTCAAATTCTTTCTCTTGGTGTATTTTACTTAATTCGTGATCAAAGATGTCTTGTTGTTGTACCAGAACTGCCAGAAGCTAAAAACAAATTGATGTCTGAAAACTGAAAATAATATGATGGAGATAAGTAGGGCCTAAAAACTGAAAGACATGTGTTCAATATTTTTCAAAAATTTATCGAATGACACCAAACACGTCCCCCAGCCACACCCTACAGTGGAAAGGGGGAAATTTTCAGATCTTAAATGAGAACCTCCATTTTTTAAAATTGTTGATAGATGGAGCTATATAGGAAAAAAACGATTTATTATGTAAAAATATTTATAGCACAGAAAAATTATGGAAACGGTCTAATATCTCAAGAAATACACTTCCAAATGAAAAACTGAAAAACACGTGCCCAATATTTTTCAAAAATCTACCGAATGACCGAATGAATATTTAATAGGAACCCTCATTTTTTATTGCAGATTCTGAATCTACAAAACATTCTTAAAAAACTGTATTCAGTACCTTAAAAATTCGTTTACAGACTTCCGATCTGTATATGCTTTTCTGTGATTACAGCACCATCTATAGCGAACCGAAAAACAACATTCAGATAAAATTTGTTTTTTTTTTCACGTAGAATCCTAATCTGTAATAAAAATGTGGTTTTCTATTTCAGATTTCAAAGTTGTTACCCGCCCCACCACAGGGGTTGTGAGGGCGTGGTCGTGTGTCATGCTATTCGATAGATGTTTGACAAATATTAAACACGTGTTTTTTTTAGTTTTTTATTTGGAAGTGTATTTCTCGAGATATTAGACCGTTTCTATAATTTTCCTAGGGTATCACGATAAATCGTTTTTCCAATTGTAGCGCCATGAATCAAAAATTCAAAAAATGTTCGTTATAAAAGTTAGGTTTTTTTTTTATTTTTTTTTTATTTTTTATTATTTTTTTTATTTCAATTAAAGTGTCTCGGCAACTATAGGCCATTGACACTGGTACAAAATTGATTACAATATGTTTATGTTTACATACATATACAATCTGTTTATCTAATATAATTACACTAAGTAGTAAAGGTGACAGTCTTTTAAAAAACGAACTATGGCACTGTACATGTTTGTAGAACCTAGTAGATCACTTAAATTATTTTGAAAGTTGTAGTAGTCTCTTTGAGGTTTGTAGTGTACAAATTGATGTAATGATGATGATGTAATATGTGTTGGACTGTTAAGGACTCATTACAATGTTCACATCGACGATGGTTTTCCGAAGGCATCAGATATCCATGAGTAAGACGAGTGTGACCTATTCTGAGCCTTCTAATAATGATATTGTCTTTGCTGCTCATTTGAGGCATGGTGATGGAGGTAACAGTTGGTTGAATTGTGCGTAGTTTTTTTGTATTTTGCATGTTCCAATGTGTTTGCCAAGTGCTTAGTACGTTGTTTTTGATACTGGCCTTTAGGTCTTGGTAAAGTTGTATGTTTTCCATATTTTCTAAGGAGCGGGCCAGTTTTGCTGCATGATCAGCGTTCTCATTTCCATTGATACCAACATGGGATGGTATCCAGATAATAGTTACTGAAACACCATTTCTTGTCTGTTGATGGCAGATACTGTGGATGCGCTGTACAATGGGATGTATGGAGTATACATTTCTGATTGAATCAATGGCGGAGAGAGAGTCGGTGCATATTGCTAATGATTTATCATTAGCAATGGGCGAGTCTAATGCCTTAAGTATTCCATACAGTTCGGCTGTGTGTATATTGCATCTGGGAGAGAGCCGATGTGACGCTATTGTTGTGTTTGAGGTACCTACGGCACAACCGACGGCCTGTTCATCTTTGGACGCATCTGTGTAGAGAATTTTGTCATAACGCTGTGTCTGTATAAGTTCCTCAAATTCTTGTACCAAGAGAGTTCTGGGCGTTTCTTCTTTTTTGTATCGGTTCAAGCTGGTAAGGACAGTAGGTAGCTTTTTGGTCCACGGGGGAATTCTGGACGTAGTAAACGGAGTTGTGAGTTTTAGGTCTATGTCTTTTAGTAAAGTTTTTGAAATTTGTGGGAGAGAATGTGCTCGAGGGTGACTATTATCTGGGACAGGGTGGGGAGTATTAATTAGTTTAATTACTGGGTTTTTTGAATCAGCAGAAATTTTAGAGAAGTAAGACAGAAGTAGACGTTGCCGTCTTATAAAAAGTGGAGATTCTGAAGATTCGATATAAAGACTTTCAGAAGGACTTGATTTAAAAGCGCCTAGGCTAATGCGTAAATAAGTGTTGTGAATTGTATTCAGACATTTAAGGTGAGTATTGGAAGCAGATATGTAGAGAATGCTTCCATAATCCAATCCAGAGCGGATCAATGTTCTGTAAATTCTTAAGAGGACTTTCTCTTCTGCCCCCCATTGATGGTGAGATAGAGTTTTTAAAATATTGATTCTATTTAGGCAGTTTGTTTTTGTATTCTGTATCTGATCTCTCCATGCCAACCTGTTGATAACTCCATGTCCCTGTCCTCGTAGGCACTTCGTCTCAGGACCATTTTACTCATGTAGAGTCATACGCCGCCATGTTACCTATCCAACGGTAACTTAACCATCACAATTTAGAAATACTAATAATGTAAAACAATTTCAAATTTATAACATTTAAAGGGTTTTTACCCATATATTTTGGTGACTACTAGCATGTACAACCGTTTGCACTGATGATGGATTGTTTAATCCGAAAACGTTTTGCAATGTGTTTGTGATAGCCCGTTTGAGGCATTTTTATATACCTTTTATAAAGGATTTTAACAAAATTTTTTTGTGATATATGGTATACAGCCAGCTACAGGAACTTAGTTTCCTCGTGGGATTTAAATTAAGTTAGTATAAGATTAGAATTGTAGTGTATTTTCTCTTCCCCATGCTCTCTTGTCGTAATATTATCTGTTTATTTGTGTTAAAGCCAGCGCTTCAACGGGGGCGAGTATGTTGTAAAAACAACATTTTATATTAATTTTAGTATAATTTTTAGTTCTTACAAATATTGGTTTGGAATTTATGTTACAGACTGTACTTTTGCCTGCAGAATATTTGTGCCATAAATAGCTTATAAGGGTTGTTTAAAGTGGTAAAACCGACGCCGCCTTGTCGGCAATTTTAGGTAAAGATTCAATTCAAAATCTCTCGCAGATGTGACTAGTGTCTCAAGTTGTTCGGTACTACCAGCCGGTACCTAGCGACTAATCTCTCTTCGCCGCCAAAATGCAGTGAAACGTGTATTTGTTTTTCTCGATAGTTTCGCGCGCCCGTAAAATGCCGATATAATAATGGACAATGTTTTAAAGCGAACTCTTTCGTGAGTATTAGTGCTTGTGTAAATATTATCTTGTTATTAAATGTGTAGATTCAATTAATTACGCTTATTTTTTCTCTAAGTACAACCCCTATTAAACCAAACACATAAAGAACCAGCACCGTGAAGTCTACTTGTATATATCGAAGGAAAAACTCTTGTACAGTCCATGGTCCTAAAATATCTGGAACTGTACACGCACGGGGAAAGGAATTTAATAAGCTTTCCACACAACAATTGGTGGAAATTGAAGAAAACTCCATCATTGTTTGTGGTTTCCGGCAACCTTATGTTGTAAAAACAACATTTTATATTAATTTTAGTATAATTTTTAGTTCTTACAAATATTGGTTTGGAATTTGTTACAGACTGTACTTTTGCCTGCAGAATATTTGTGCCATAAATAGCTTATAAGGGTTGTTTAAAGTGGTAAAACCGACGCCGCCTTGTCGGCAATTTTAGGTAAAGATTCAATTCAAAATCTCTCGCAGATGTGACTAGTGTCTCAAGCTGTTCGGTACTACCAGCCGGTACCTAGCGACTAATCTCTCTCTTCGCCGCCAAAATGCAGTGAAACGTGTATTTCTTTTTCTCGATAGTTTCGCGCACCCGTAAAACGCCGATATAATAATGGACAATGTTTTAAAGCGAACTCTTTCGTGAGTATTACTGCTTGTGTAAATATTATCTTGTTATTAAATGTGTAGATTCAATTAATTACGCTTATTTTTTCTCTAAGTACAACCCCTATTAAACCAAACACATAAAGAACCAGCACCGTGAAGTCTACTTGTATATATCGATGTTCATTTGACGAAGGGTTCGACCGTCCCGCTTCTTTTCACACACATATATAAAGCCGAACAGTAGAGCCCAGCATAAATAACAAACTGCCAAATTAAAATGAGAAGTAGAGTGAATAAATTGTTCTTTTTAATGGTTAAATTCTTTGGCGTTGACTTTATGATCAGAATTTACTTTTTCTAAATGTATTTGATTGATTTGGTGGTTTAATGTTTATAAAGGATCTTGGGGTAGTATGGGTTACCGATGGCTCATACTGTAACAAAACTCCGAGTAATGTCTACTGTTTCTGACGAAAGAGTCAGAGGTTCTAAAAATCTCAGCTTCTGCCAACAAACCCTACTCTCAGGTCCCTGAAGGCTTTTGACATGTAGCCACTGGGTGGGTGGCGTACAATGATTGTGCGTTATGTAGCAGACGAGAGGGGGTGAAACGCTAGTTTCTGGCGACTAAACATTGGACCATATCGGCTAAGGGAATAAACCCTGACAAAAAATTCTGGTTTTCCAGGTTGTGGGTGATGGGCCGGTAACCCGTTACCGTAAAAAATACAAAACCACGAAACTTTGTGACACCAATTACAACAGTACATGCTGCAGCTCACGAGGAATTACTTTCCCTCATAGTTTGCACTTGCAAAGACAAATGTATCCGTAACTGTGAGTGTAGAAAGAGTGGTCTAAACTACTTAAATATATGCAGCAAATGATCAGGCCCCGGGTGTGATAATAGGGACACAACCACCATAGACGAAGATGTAGAAGAATAAAATGTTGTATTTAATGACGACTAAAACTGATGCGACGTTGTCCATAGAAAGTTAATAATAAGTTTCTCCGTACCACAGGTTTTAATGGCCTAGGCCTTTGGAAGCCTACTTATCATTAAAAAGTAGCGCACCCTTGATAAGCTGGTGATGTCGACGTTCCGTTA